CGGTTGGCGGGTGAACCAGATTATTATCGAAGCCAAGCAGACGGAAAACAGAGTACTGGATAGTTTGACCAACGACCCAAACATGGATTGGCCAAGAAGACCAAATGATATATGCTCTCCAGCCATGCTCTTCGGCAATGACGTAGACTTAGCCCCATAAGGCTGAAGGAGGGGGGGTGGATGCTTGTGGTACGGGCTCCTATGAATAAGTAGTGGAGACAGAAAGCCAGATAATACAGCATGTTCAATGGATATTAATTAGTTATATTTCAATGCACACTGCTGAACTGTTGTGGCCGATGACGACAGTGTTGTCGAGTGAAAAGCATGCGAATGTGGTTGCCTGAGGACCGACGTCACCAGTGCCTGAGGAACAGCGAGAACTTGATTTGGACATTAGGGCAAACGTAACGTCCACGCCAATGGTGTTTTGAAGTCTTAGAATTCCTTAGTTATTATTATAAGTTTGATATGGACAGGGTCTATTTTCTTTGGCCAAGAAAAGTGATACTGCAGGTACGGAGATCACAACATCATACCAGTTTGTCCTCTCCTTCGGAAACTCCGCTTGGGTCAGGTTCGCCGATGGCGCGACCCAAGGTTAATGCAATGCGAAAGCCAATGTTCCAACCCCGCATCGGAAATGTTGCGATGTTGCAATGCTACTTGCTGGCTTGAAGCTTGTCCCGGTTATTCTTAAACCATCGGTCTGAAGTCCGATGGCGTTCGGGAACATACCTACTACTTCTGGAAGAAGATTTCCTTTCCCTTAATAAAAAGCCCACCTTCAAGCATCTGAAGTATCAATCTCTTTATACCTTCATCTCCTCTTTCCCTGGTCTCTAACCTACCCCTAGTTTACCCTTACTGTGGTGACAATACAATCATGTATGTATATCCGATCAAATGCCGCTCCACCTTGACCTTTATAGCTTGAGTATTGCATTGGCAACTAACCTGCAATCGCAAGGGTCTATACTGCGTCTTTTGCCTTTTTCGAGGCTCTATGGGAGGTATGAACTCGACGCTCACCAACCTGACTATATTCAAACTGAGTCTCTTAGGCCGGGATCACGCATGTCTTCGCCAATCTAGGGTCCGATCATCCCTCCATCTTGGAAGCCATGGTCAAGGGCCAGAAAGAGAAGCCCGATGAATTCCCCAGAGTCATCACCTGTCCCAACGAGGTAAGTCATTAAGCTTACAAATAGCATTGAGTTGCCCCTCAGTCACTGTGGGTTTCTATGAATCCTCATCTCAGGCTAACCCCACATTTACCCCACTCCACAGATGGTAGCACTTTCCATGGCCGATGGTTATGCTCGGCTGACCGGCAAACCACAATGCGTCATTGTTCATGTTGATGTCGGTACACAAGGACTAGCAGCAGCCGTACATAATGCCTCCTGTGGACGCGCCCCCGTTTTGATCTTTGCTGGCCTCTCCCCCTTCACCATCGAAGGGGAGATGCGCGGCTCTCGCACAGAGTACATCCACTGGATTCAAGATGTTCCGGATCAGAAGCAGATTGTTTCTCAATACTGTCGCTATTCTGGCGAGATCCGTTCTGGGAAAAATGTAAAGCAAATGGTCAATCGCGCCCTTCAATTTGCGATGAGCGACCCCAAAGGTCCGGTATATTTGGCTGGTGCTCGTGAGGTAATGGAAGAGGAGATCAAGCCATATAAAGTAAATCAAAATGTCTGGGGCGCTGTCGCACCTTCTGCATTGCCGGCTGAGGGGGTTGAACTGATCGCATCGGAACTTGCCGCCGCCAAGGAACCTCTGGTGATTGTAGGTTATTCCGGTCGTGAGACCAGGGGAGTGGAAGAGCTAGTTAAACTGGCAGACACGTTCAAAGGAGTTCGGGTACTGGACACTGGTGGATGTGACATGTGCTTTCCTGGTGACCACCCAGCGTGGTTGGGGATGCGATTCGGTATCCACGAGGCTATCAAAACTGCAGACGTTATCCTTGTTGCCGACTGCGATGTGCCATGGATTCCGACACAGTGCAAACCGTCTGATTCCGCTAAGATCATTCATGTAGACGTTGATCCACTCAAGCAACAAATGCCGGTCTTCTATCTCCCTTCCATGGCTACCTTCCGTGCGGAATCGGCAACAGCATTTAAACAGGTCAATGAGTACGTCGCCGCTAATAACTCACTAAAACAAACGCTTAACTCCGAAGAACAAACATCTCTTGGTAAACGCCGTGAGGAGGAATACAAGAAGATCCGACAAGGAATAACAGACCTTGCCGTTGTACCATCGGGAGGTAGTAACGCTGATCTTAACGTGTCTTATCTGATCAATCAGATCCGGGAGACTTGCCCGGCAGACACTATCTGGGCTATCGAGTCCGTAACACTCACTACATTTGTAGCTGATCAAATTGCTGCCACCTTGCCAAAGTCATGGATCAACTGTGGCGGGGGTGGGCTTGGCTGGTCCGGCGGGGGTGCACTTGGTATCAAATTGGCCACTGATCATGAAAACGGCGGTAGGAACAAGGGCAAGTTTGTCTGCCAGATTGTGGGTGATGGTACGTACCTCTTTTCCGTGCCGGGCTCCGTCTACTGGATCTCGAGACGGTATAACCTCCCTATTTTGACGATCGTCCTGAACAACAAGGGCTGGAACGCTCCTAGGCGGAGTATGCTCCTCGTTCATCCCGAAGGTGATGGCTCGCGCGCGACTAACGAGGACCTCAACATATCATTTGCCCCTACTCCGGATTACCCAGGCATTGCGAAGGCTGCTGCAGGGGGAGAGCTCTGGGCTGGCACTGCAACTACTGTTTCGGACCTTGCCAGGATGCTTCCCGAGGCTATCAAAGCCGTCCAGAATGGAACCACCGCTGTCTTGGAGGCTCAGTTAGACGGCACAGTTGGCAAGCATGTTAACAAGAACTGATGCTTCCTATCGTGATGGAATAGAGGGGAACGGGGTATCCCATCCACCGATCTACTTTTTATTCTATATTAACTGGAGAATTAGCATAGAAACTCGATATCTAATTCTAGATGAATTCATAGAACTTCGGTTCCTACTTTATAATGATCAATGATGCACAGTGGGTACAAAATAGGATTTTGCTAGGAATTGAAAGAACAACATAGAATAAAACTAGACTTCGTGAATTAAAAGACGGGTTATCTATTCTCTAAGGTGTCTTTAGAAAGGCCAGAATGACTCTCTCATAGAACGTCCGAGATAGTCGATCTCAAGTACGGCCTAAAAGTATATACAAGTGCACCGATAAGTCAACCATGTATGTTGTCACACCAACTCAACTGAGGCCAGGCGCCTTTCCAGAAAATCGAAGATAACTTGATGTAACCTAAAGAAGGCACCTTGATGGCAATGTGTGTCGCCGCCTTCATCAGCTCCTAAACTGACGGTCTCGTACTCGCATTTCAAATGATTGCAAAGCAACTCCGGCTGACCCTTAAGGAAGTGATCATTTTCTGCGTCAAGGACCAGACAAGGACTCACAATCTTCTGAGTTAGGCCTTCTAGGGTATAAAGATTAACTGTGCGCATCAGCTCCGCCTCTGATGCTACCCCGAAAGTCCATTTACCGTTGCGCAGAGCCCACCGAACACCTGTGTCTAGAGACTGTGCGCAGCTAAAAATAAAATTGGATACTCCATCATATTCGTTTTGGACTAGCTTTTGCACAAAGGATGGCTGGTTAGCCCGAAATGCAGACCCGAAGTCGTACACTCCATCATCCAGGATGATGGCCTTGGCTCGATGCTCCTGCGTGGCTCCTCGTGCCACCAGGTATCCCCCCATGCTCCAGCCGAAGATTGCTATGGCATTGGGATCGACTTCCTTGAGAGTTAAGGCGAAGTCAACCACAGGAGTTAGTACGTTCTCCCAGTCGGGCCTGAAGTAGAGGTGTTGTCGTCGTACAGCTGCACCTTGACCGGGGCCATCGAAGGCGAGAAAGTTGTATCCCCTTGCTAGGGCTGCAGCTCCAATCGCAAACCAGGCTTCGCTTGCAGTTGAATCATAGCCACCATTGAAAATAATGGTGCGCCGTAGGTTGGCCGTGCCAGTGGAGCTGACAAAGTATCCAGGGAGTGTTGTCCCTTGATAGGGAATCTTGATCTGTTCATAGGCATATACAGACAGCTTCATCGCCTCCTCAAATGCTGTCTCCGATCTTTCATATACAAGCTGTGCCATTTCATCGTTGCCATAGTTATCGCGACGGAAGAACTCAGCAGTCCTATAGTAATTTGAGGCCCGCAGATATCCCTCGTAGGCACTGACCGTGTTGTTCACGGATGCTGATTGCTCGGCGCTGGAAAATGCTCGGTCGGCTGCCTTTTTCCATTCGACTAGCCAGTCATCTTCATTTCCAGCTCGGATTTTGGAGATGATAGCTATCACCTCTCCTAGGTCTGCTCCACCATAATTACTGTACCCTGCGGCCCGCAGGGCTTCATAACTGAAACACGCGTTGGACTTGAAGAAATGATTGATAAGCATCGTCACCAGAATTATCGACCAATTGTAGACAAATCGATGTATTCTGATGTGATAAATATGGAGACATCAGTGGAACATGAGAAGAGTCATAGTAAAAGATATTCTTAGGAAAGAACTTAAGCAATTGATCATATGATATAAGTCGGTCCGAGTCTCACCAAGACACCAAATCGGGCCGAGTATCCTCATCCTGCATCTCCTCCCTAGTCGGTCCGATAAGCAGCTCTACAACGCAAGATTTTACGACCGGTTGAAATTAGTGCTAGTTGTAGGTTGTTGATTTATAAGCCAATGATTCATGAGTTTGTGATTTAAAAATAAGGCTGGCTGGATTTGTCGCTATGGTTTTAGTTAGTATTGAATTCTGCGAAAGTGCGAACAGGAGTGAAGGATCTGTTTTTATACTCTCGCACTATCCTGCCGTTCTGAACATTCTGCACAGTCTACAGATTGACCCAGAAAGGTTAAAATAGTCTTGCTAACTTAAATTCACAATGCCAACAGAAGACGGCATCCCACATAGTTCATCTCCGGAACACGTATCTAGTCCCAGCAACAGCATCGATGGAAGAGGCTTTGTCGAGACGATCCAATGGGATGAAGACGACCCGGCCCATCCTTTCAAGAGAGGTTTAACGACGAGATGGCTGACTGTTGTTATTATATCTCTTTGCTCACTTTGTGTGTCAGTAGCCCGAATCTGAGCAACACTCCCATATTTGGCGAACTGACATTGTGGTAGCGCTTGCACATCTTCCATATATACTACGACCTACGATCAACTTCTGGATGAGTTCCATTGTTCACAAGAAGTTGCAACGCTAGGGCTATCACTTTTTGTTTTCGGCATGGGTAAGCCAGGCGTATCATTTTCTGTTTGCCGATTAAGATCAATGGACTAAAATTACCTCTGCTTAGGGTTTGGGCCGCTGATATTAGGCCCTTTATCCGAGGTACGACTGTGTTTTTGGTTCCCAAATGAAGAACGCTGACCAATTGACAGCTGTATGGGCGGAGAGTCATCTTTTTGAGCTCTTTTACTTTCTTCCTCATTTGGCTGATTCCATGTGCAGTCGCGAGGAATATACAAACACTACTCATTTCTCGGTTCTTCAATGGTTTTTCAGGCAGTGCCTTCCTCAGCGTTGCTGGAGGTGCAGTTGGAGATATGTTTCCTCGGCATCAACTGGCTGCTCCTATGATGGTATATACTGCAAGTCCCTTTGTTGGACCTGAGCTTGGGCCTCTGTAAGTGTATCCATAGAGACTTTGCTTCCCAGTGAGACATGGACTTACGAATTGTTGCTCCCCCCTTTCACAGCTTGGGTGGCTTTATAAACCAGTATACAAATTGGTATGTATGAGGAGGTGGTCCTCTGAAGCCAAGGGTAAGAATAGCATTCTGACGCAAGGGTTACAGGCGCTGGACTTTTTATACCTTACTATTCTGGGCCGCCACGATGTTAGTTTCGATATACTTATTCGTGCCCGAAACCCATCATCCAGCGTTGGTCAACTGTTCCTCGATTGGCTTAACGTACCTAACATAGTTCCCTAGAATTCTAACGCAAAAGGCACGAAAAGTCAGAAAGCAAACGGGGAACTCATGGCCGTTAGGACCAAGCGAGAATAGCAACGTACCTGTGAGCGAACTTATCCTCCGCTCTATCGTCCGGCCCGTCAAGCTTCTGACGTTGGAGCCTATGTGCCTGAATCTATGTATATACTCTGCACTTCTGCTGGGCATACTTTATCTTTTCTTTGGTGCATTTCAGACCGTTTTCAAGTCTGTATATGGGTTCGAGTTATGGCAGAGAGGACTCACATTTCTGGGTCTTCTCGTCGGGATGGTGTTGGCCATTCTCTCCGACCCATTTTGGCGTCAAAACTATCAGCGTCTGGAAAGAGACCATCATGCTCGAGATCCGGAAGCATCTGGGTTCGACCCAGAATGGAGACTTCCTCCAGGTACCATCCTTCCCTGACCTCCGAATTCTTTCACCATATAGTAATTTGTGAATTTTTCCGAACATGCAGCTATAGCAGGAGCACCATTAGTAACAATTGGGCTTTTTATATTCTCATGGACGATTTATCCGGGCATTCACTGGATAGTGCCGTTGATCGGAAGTGCGCTTTTCGGAGCTGGGTAAGTAGACTCAACAACTTGCATGTCCCAATGAACTTCCACCAGGACCAAAAGTTACCCCTGAAGTGATAATCCTTGATAAATAAAACTATGTTAACCAAAATCTAACAGGACAATCCTGGTTTACTCTGGCATCTTCACCTTCCTCGTCGAAGCCTACCCTCGTTACGCGGCCAGCGCCTTAGCGGCAAACAGCTTTACCAGGTCGACATTCGCAGGAGCTTTCCCATTGTTCGGGACTCAGAGTAAGTTTGTACTCCCGTTAAATTAGATGGATTAAGACTTACATTGGTTATTATTTCTTAGTGTACAACAAATTAGGGCTAAATTGGGCTTCGTGTCTACTCGCATTTCTTACTTTGGCGATGGTGCCGTTTCCGTAAGACTTTTTGTACCCTAACTATTGCCTTCGAAGTTGCCTTTCGTTACTGACCAATCTACGGGTGACAGGTACATCTTCTATAGGTATGGGGCTCGGATTCGGAAGAAGAGCCGGTTTAGCTCTTAGTCGGGTTACACTTAATGTCTATTCTAACCCAGCACTACCTAAGGCAAACTAGCTAGGGTTATTCGGAGTTCCAAGAGAAGGCTTTTCAATAAAGTGTTTTGCTGATATTTAATTACCGGCCCTACCTTTTGTATAGATAGAAGCCGCTTACGTCAGGACAGAATAAAAAAGAGGAAATACCAATGTTTTTTTGAATACTATACTACTGCACGTTTGTAACTAGGTAGAGATAGCACGATTATCCGGAGCTATTTTGTTTGTAGCTAATCAATGGCAACTGGCCCCAACAAGATTGCTTTACAAGGATTCCTCATTGCAAGGAATGATCGGGAGGGTGATATAGTTAACATAACTGGGCCCGAAATGGACATTGTTGAGACCTTCGAAGACAGCCTCTGACCTAGATGATAGTTAGAAAAAGAAGCCCGAAATATGCCTTGCGACATGAGTTCGTGATTAAGGAGAGCCAAACCTGTCAATCGGATCGTCATGACCCCAGATCTCAGTTCCTGCAGTGTCCCCGGAACTAACCTCTAACACAAGCCGGCCTCCAGCTTCGACGACTACGTTAGTTGGCCAGAGTTCCACATCCACGGGATACACCTCGCCGGGAATTACAGGTAGAACATCCGTGGAGTAGTAGTTGCGATACGGCAACCAAGGCCGGTGGCGTGGGTGCTGAGGGTCGGTCTTGCGGAGAGAAACACGGAGCCAACCCTTGGTCACTGGGACAGGGTTTCCGGTAGAGCCTGTGTAGGATATCTCATCGCCAGATGATGATATATGACGTAGACTGAGAAACAAGTCTAAGTCCGAGGGTGAATTTCCCCATTGATCTCTGCTGACGGATACGTTGAGGTGAGCCACAATGTGCCCGGTGATCTCTGTTTCTTTCTCAAAAGGAGCCGATTGGAATGTCACCATGTCGGAATCGTTTGCCTTACCCAGAGCGCTGTAGCAGAGTTTCTTTGGCGTTGGCTGGTGTGGTTGGTCGAGTTGTAGCTCATAGTCCGCTGTTAAGTAAATGGGGGTGTATTGTGTCCTGGCCAATGGCCATTCCTTTTCTTTACGGCGAAGAAACTGTTTCTCCGCTGTTGGGTTATTGTAACCAACGTTGCCCTTACGTAGAATCAAATCCACAGGCGGAAGAGCCCCTTTCTGTGTCCAGCCCTCTCGGTCATGCCCTTTCAGCCAAGCATCGAGGAAGCTCCTTTGTATCTCTACTTCTTCAGGGTAGTAGAATGGCAGATCATGGCGTCCAACAATGAATCGAAGATATTTGAATTCAGACCCAGACCAAAGATATCCCATCACATTTCCTCGAAGATGCAGAAGAATCCCACCGAGATTAGCAACGCTGAGAAGGGGGACTGTAACATCTTCCAGATTGAAGTTCAGTGACGAGATATCTTTGTTGTCACGGTACCGCTGCTCATGCATTACGGCCTTGTAACGGTTTGCATCTAATTCCTCTGCGCTGAGATCCCCGTCAACAGTATCGGGACCCCAATTGCGCGCCGCTCGCCCCGGAAGCCCATACTGATTCGGCGCAACCTGACGATCGTACCACAGAGAGAAAAACTTGTTCGAGAGGATGCCGCCATGCCGCAATGACTCGTTATAGGCGTCAGAAAATCCTTCCCATGGCACTATCGCCGCTAATCCTTTAGGCTGCCGAGCTGCAACCTGCCACTGCGTGGCGGCGTAGTAGCTGATTCCGAGGATCCCGACTTTCCCGGAGGACCAAGGTTGACAAGCAGCCCATTCGATAGCGTCGCAGAATCCATCAATGGAAGCTGCAGATTTAACATGAAGCTGACCTGGAGACTGCCCGATGCCAGGCTCATCCACTCGCACGACAACATAGCCGTGGTCGGTCCAGTACTGGGGTGTAGGCGTCTCCCATGCAGAATGTTCTGTCCGATGAGCTGGGTCCACTTCTGCGAAGCTCTTGGGGTTAAACCTGTTAATTCATTGATTAATACCTGTATTTATGATAAAGTTGAGAGCATAGAAGTAAGGAGAGAAAGGATTATTTCTTAACTCTGGGCACTGACTGTTCATAAGGGACATCCTTGCCGTACGGCCCGTACGTGACAAGAACGGGATATTTGCTTCCTTCTGATGTTTTCCGCGGCTTATAAACGTTACAGCGAAGTAATCCTCCAGTCCTTAACGGGATTGACACATTCTGCGCGAAAATATACGAATGGTTCGTTGCGTCGACCGTTTGGATATCGTGGTATTGATTAGGCATTTTGATTGTTGCGAATAGGTTCTACGGTATTGCCAATGGTGCAAATGATTAACGTACTCGGAGTGATTAAAAGTAATCGATCAGTGTTGCCACAATGACATTTATAGCAGAGCATAGGTGCTATATACGAGGCTTAAGACCCACAATGCTACTGGTAAAGCCGAATGCCCCGAGTCCGACTCCTCCGAATCCGACTGCTCCGTGTCCTCGGGTATATCTCGCTCTACATACAGATGAATGGATCATCGCTCAGCTAAAGAACCCGCATCCCTGCTGAAAGAGGTGTAAGGGCTCGAAGCCTGCAAACTGTTCGATTCCGGCCTCCGCGAAAGACAGGTTATACCAGGGGTCGTCCTGAGCTACACCAGATGGTCTTGTGAAAGACATATCAGCGGCCTCCATATCCGATTGTTCAAAGATACAGTTATCGGACATGGTTGCCTGTGGGGTCTGCTGGATTGTATCGACTTCTAGAGTTCTCCGGCCACTCACCCATGGATGCAGATGTTGGTCCGAGGGACCTATCGGTGGAACCGATGCTTCGCGGTGCCTTGACTGCTCGTTGTCCGCAGACTGTTCTCGTACAGGATCTGAGAGTTGTGATTTAGGTGTTGAAGGATGAAGTTCGGGGGCTCTGACGGGGTGTGGGACGGTTAATTCGTGTTGTGTTCTGTAGCATGACAGATGTAGCTGCAACGCAGCGTCCAGCTTTTCCCACTGCATTCCAAGTGGTTAGGATACCCCCATTTTCGACTATTAAGGAATATGTACTCACAGAAAGCTGCAGAGCTCTCCAATAGCACCGAAGTTTGTTGAGTAAGCGAAGCGTCCCCTTCACAGTCGACAATCTACGACTCTCTGATAATGTTCCGGGGATAGGCCTTCGTGATGTCTTGTCTCGAAAAGAGACCTCAATAGCCAAGAACACAACACCCGTAATGAAAGCAGCATATCCTACGAAAGGCGGTAGAAGCGTAACATCGCCTGGTCCATACATGTAAGGAGCTAATAGAGCTTCGCATAACTCTGCATGTTGTATGACTGTCTCTGCGCTTTGCTTCACGATTTCTGGGTCTATCGTTGGGCCATGGTGTGTACCAGAAAACAAAGGCACAACCATTGAATGCAAAGCGATCTGGCATTGGTGGTAAAGGGCACTAGTAAAGAGTACCAGGGGAGTATTCTCCATGCTATGGTCGCTCCGAGAGGTCTCTGTATCCACGCTAGACATTTCATTCTCAAAGATTGACCTTGCCAAGTGCGAGAGTCTTTGCAGAGAATCAAGATTCTGAGCAATGCTAGACGATGCCCAATCGCGGACCAAAAGCTGAGTTTTAACCCTAGAAAAAGAGACAGAATAATTATTTAGTGTTTAAAACCAAAATAAAATAAAATTCAAGGTTGGCCGAGATCCTTACCACACTCCGACCATTTTAACCAATAATGCGGCGTACACAGGGGAGCGATAATCTTCGCACTGAGATACCGCCAAGCTTGAACGCCAGGTGTGATCCATCTTCTCATCTGAGGCAACTTCATGAGCGGAAGATGGATATAGTATAGCAGCAGGAAGTGGTATCATGGAAGCCTCTTGCCAGGCTAATCTGGCATATGGTTCTGGTTCCATGACTATGCTTGTGGACATCCAGCAAGCCCAGAAGCATCGACGCCTTGACTCTGATTCGAGCGAGGAATCGGATTTTTCAACCCCATCAACAACCTTTCTGTTGTATCCAAGGAGATCACACGAACGGTAGGCCAGGGCTAGAGGAACATTAACGGAAGTTTTATGATACCCCGAAAATCCTCAAGCTTATGACAAGACGCAACTAGTCAGAGAAGGAGGGAAAGACACAAAACTTACTAAGACATAAATGGCCGGTTCTTGACTCACCAATCCCAAACCAATACAGTTGCAAACAATGAAGGGCCTGCAAAACCGCTAGAGATGGTTCTGTGCAGATCGATGGCATAGCTTCTCTTAGAGCTGACCTTGCCCATGGAACACCACAGGATGAATATGTGCTTAGAAGCTTTAACTCCGACCATTTAAATTGTTCGTCATTGCTATCTTCATTGGCTTGAGTGAGAAATCTTCAATATTATCTTAGCTGACCGGTTCAGATGTAGAGGTGGTAACATACAGCGTAGCTAACGCAAAGAGAGCCTTGAGCAGGACCTCAGGAATCTTTCCATCAAGATATTGCTGGAAAAGAATCGGTTTAAAGAAGAGTACAGATGCATTGTAGATTCGCGTAAAATATATGTCCAGTAAGGACAGCCCAAGGGCTCGTGGTGGTAAAGGTGGCCAGGCTACATCAGAAGTTAAGCCTTCTCTGGTCATATTCATGTTTCTCAGGTGAGTTGAATATGATTCAGAGGAGACATTAATTGACTCGACACCAACATCATTTGCAAGATAGCTGGGCCAGCCACCGGAGCGCGGGGTACCTCTAGTTAACCCAGCAGCTTCGCTACGTGCTTGGTTCTCAGTTTGAGCGAGACCATTTTCATTATGCGGCGTATAATGACGAGGGGATGTCAATTCATTAGACCGAGGACTTGGGTGGGCAGTAGACTCTTGAGCGCCAGACGCGGATCTGCCGAGAGTGCTGACGATAACACGTCGGGCGAGCTGTTCGGCACTCTGGTCAGCTACTCGACGCACGCCCTGGGAGCTGCGACGCAACTTCCGACCGCGGCGAACTGGGGGTCTGGGATATGTACAATCGGCTTGTAGCCGCTGGCACCGAGCGCATGCAGGACGTTCCCGACTACATTTGACCTGTCATCGAGATTCAAGAGCTCAGCATCAAATGACGACGATTCGAAAAAGGACGAGAAACAGCTCACTTTATGATCTCGACACCGCTGACATGCAGTTATAGAGTGCTGCAAATTATGATTCGCGGCAGGTGAGCGTGCTTGCATTTTGCAATAGTCCCTATACTTGCTTGCGCGCAGGTGGAGGAATGTCGGACCTTAGACAAGTATTGAGTCGGGCCGAGCTGAGCTTTTTTTCACCGCCTTCCCCTGCAAGGGCTTGCTCGCTTAATAGTTAGTACAAATATGGCCCGACTCCAGAGTTTGATGGATCATCAATTATCTGAGTATCTAGTATTATGGTGGTCTTTTTACGATCACTGGCTTTACTAATTGACTTAATGGTGCTAACAATTAATTTTGTTTAATCTATACGAGAGACTAAAGTAACCTAGTTTACCTGGCTTCATGGTATAAAATAGCCTCTCTCGGAGGTACGCCGAACCAAACATAATGTCGGCGCAGATCTTAGGGCACTTGGTTGATGTGAAATGATGAAGAATATGAGTTCCTTAGTAAAAGGTAAGATTCTTGAATTCCTATTGATTTTACGAACAAATGAAGGCCTTTTATATCGGCCTAGAATTACGTGGTTGCAGACAAAGAGTCTTTGTTCTAATAAAGGGCCTTTAGATATCTACACACCCTCTTAACAGTGTGATTGAGGCCATTGAAATTTCCTAAAAGGGTAATATCTCCAATATTTATGATATTTTGAATCTATCAGTAAACTCCGATTTTTCTGGTCAGTTAGTTGAAACGCGTCTTGGGAAGCGGCTTAGTGAATATATCGGTAGGATTTATCTCTGTGGAAATATATTGTAAGTCAATATTGCTATTATGAATAGCCTCGCGAATCCAGTATATTGTTATTTCAATATACTTTGACCGCGCATGGAACTGAGTATTTTAGGCGAGTTATATTACCGGCAAAGAATCGGTGTATAGGATTACTGGCCTTATACCCCCGAATCCAATTCCTTCCAGAATACTTATAATCTATTTTGCTTTATAATCTGCCAATAATACAGCAGTGTACTCGGCTTTATATATTGATAAACTCACTGTAGATTGCAGCTTAGATGACTATAATATAGAATCACTAGCTAATATAAAGATATATTCGGTGGTTGACTTTCGTATATCAAGATATCCTGTGTAGTCGGTATTGATATAGCCACAGACTTTTCCTAGCTATACAAGGGGTTCGCTGTTGTTATCAACAGGCTTGTAAAGGATTCCATGGTTAGGGGTAAAATATAGGAAATATATTAACTGCAGTACACAGCTCAGTAAGTTATTTATAGGATAATAAGTATATTTTAATAGCTTTCCAACTGTGTATACTATCTCGGGTCTAGTCTGTAATATTAAATATATTACAGATCTAAGTAAGGTTTGATATTATTGTCTGATCTGTGAATCGATCTCTGTATCTGTTTTAACGATCTTAGCATCGGGTACTATAGGAATAGGCGAAGTTTTATATAAATCGGGGTCAAAAGCTTCTATAATATGTTTGATATAGATATCCTGTGTTAGCTTAAGTATAAAGTTCTTCCTATCACGTGTGATCTTTATTCTGAGATAATAACTTGCTGTACTGATATCCGATATATTGAATAAGCTATAAAATTACAATTTTACTCTCTCAACAGAGGTGTCAGGGCCGGTAGTGAGGATATTATTAATATAGACAATTAGTAGGGTGCCGCTGTGGTTTGTAAATAGGTACTTATCTACTTCCGTAGGAATAAGTCCAATAGATGTAAGTCTTTCGCGGAGCTTAATGTACCACAATCTAGTCGCTTGCTTGAGGCTGTAAAGAGGTAAATTTAACTTATATACACAGCCTGACTTGTTATCAAAGTCAGTAGGTTGTTTAATATAGATAATCTCCCTATCTTGGAATTCTTCTTGTAAGAAGGCTAGCTTTGTGTCTGCTTGAATGTATTTATAACCGAACTGTGTGGTGTAGGTAAAGAATAGGTGTACTGAAGCGGCTTTAGCGGTAGGTGAGAAGCTCATAAAGAAGTCAACTCCAAAGGTCTGAGAGAAGCCTTTTGCTATCTAGTGTGTCTTGTAGCGATAGACTATATTGTCTATATTAATCTTTGCTTTGAATACCCAATATTCTTTGATAGCTCTACAGCTATTTGGAAGATCAATAAGATTCTATATTTTATATTTGATATAATTATCAAACTCTTCTTTTATAGCTTACTATTACTTCTCTGATTCTGGTGATGTAATTGCCTCTTTAAATAAGAACAGTTCGACAAGGTTTGAATAATCTTTGCTTTTACTAGCAATATAAAGAAAAGCGGCTTATATTAGCTTGAGGGCAGTCTGTTGCTACTGCTGAGACATATCAATAATGAGATTCGCTATATAACTTCCCGATTGGCATACTGCTTCGGTATCACAATCGGTGTAGGTCAACGGGGTTGGAAGTTGTCCGCCGGTGATAGGCTAGTCAGGTGTTTAATATTGTTAGTTAACCGGGTCAGCTGGCTTACTATTAGAGATATCAGATTCGGATTCGCTTTCTATCTTATTAGGATTTTGTGCCGGATATATGATAGGTAGTAATTAAATTTATTTGCCGTAATTATTATCTGGACTTCCGAAAAGCTCGGGATCTGACCCTTTATTAATAGTAATATTATATACTTGTTCAATGCGGCTTGTTTCCGGAATATAAATAATATACTGCTTGCCGAGACTTGTATAACCAAGAAAGATAGTCTGTGTGGCTTATAGATTAAGCTTTGTAATATCTTTAAATAATTGTAATTCAGTTAGAATAGTAATTTAGTATACAGATCTAATAATCCTGAGTAATTTCAAGTCTAGCTGTCTGCCGTGATATATCTTAAAAGGTGTGACGGCTATATTTCTGATTAGTGAGATGTTCTTAATAAAAATAATCAATTTTATAACTTCTATCTATAGATCCTTTTGTATCTGAGGCTTGTCAACGAGAACTGTGTGTATCTTAGTTATCAAAGTATATCTAAGATACTCAATAATACTGTTCTATTTGTGTGTATATGGTATAGTTAGTTCCTATACTATATCTTTTTTCTTAGATTATGTCTTGAGATTATTACTTATAAATTCTCTCGTGTTGTCAGAATAAAAAGACTCTATATTATAGTCTATATTGTGTTTAACTATCTTAAACTTTTTGATAGTCTTATTGACTTCCTATTTAAACTTAAGAAAGTGGACGGTGATAAAACAGTCAAACTAATCAATAAAAAGAAGCCAGTAGATCTCTCCTTACTCGAAACTAGATTTGATATTATCTTAATCTTCTCCTGTATCAATAAAGACTCGCTGTCTATGTCTTGTAGCTGGTGATATAGCTTGTTTACTAATATACTTTATTATGTTGGCTTGTCTACACAGGATATAAGTATATCTAGAAATCGCTAGTCCATCAATATCAATATCCTTTATTATTTTAGAAAGATATATGATATTTTTAATTAATAGATACACAAGACAACAGTACCAAGTAGTAAGATTGACTCGATTCTTTCTAAGCACCTTGACAGCTCTAATCTAGAATATATATCGGGTCTTTTCTATTAAAGACTGTTGTTTTGTGACACTTACAATTGGTTTAACAGGTGTAATATCTGTAATTTTATTACTGTATTTATTATATTATATTGGCTCGGCAAATCTAATTTTCTAGATCGGTCTTGCGACACTTTCTTTAATAGAGTCGGTATATTCGATCTCTTTGGCCACAGTATATAAGATAAATTAATTCTGTATTAAATCTCTATATCCAATAACAATATTCTTTTTAATATAAGTAAGAACTACTTCTTCGGACAAGAAATTAATATCTAATCCTCTGTGTATTATCTTTACAATGCCGAGTAGATTGATTTTGACTTCAGGTATATACAACACATTTGTCAGTATTAAATAATATCTACCAATAGATAATTTGAGAAATAATTCAACGTCTTCTATAAGAGTTGAAAAGGTGAGATAACCTATAGTAATTTGTATACTACGACGATGTGGCTTCACGGTATTACTGATAAAACTATTCAGGTCTGTAATAAGATAGTCTATAGTCCCGGAATTAATAATCTAGATATCTGATCTGAATTTAGAAAAAATCTGAGTATTTTTAATAATCTGGCTGTACTTCTCCATAGATCTGACTATACAGACAAACTTATTGTTTATAGTAGTGGCGGTATTGGCTTTGTCTCTTGACTTCTTCTTGGCTTTATGCTTTGTCTTATATTCTTTATATTTCTCTGGATAAGCCTTCTAATACTGATTCTCAGAATGGCTAGACTTATTGCAATATTTATACGGGGAACAAAACAAATCTTTAGAAAATGATAACTTGATATTCTTTTTCTTAGTATTATTCTTCTTTTTTTATATAAGCTACTTTCTAGTCTTGGCTTTTATAAGATTTAACTGAGCTATGTTGAATTTTATTTGTATCTCTTCCTGAATAAGGATTTGTATAACTTTATTAAAGGTAGTAGTTTCTTTGTTGAAACAACTATTCAAATACAAGATAAGAAACAAGTCTCAAGTCTCTTCTAGATTACACAGAATAAACTGTATCTTTAGGGATTTAGGCAGGACTTTATCTGTTTTTAAACTTGTAGCCAACTTATCAAAAGATATAGTCAGCTTAGATATATAGTCTTGAATACCCTTACAGTTCGTGAATTGAGTATGAACAGCGGTTTAAAGGCTTTTGAATAACTGAATATTAATAGAGATATCGAATTTCTTCTGCAGGTAATTCTATAACTCCTTTAAGATTTCTATCTTGATAACTTTATATCGAATCGCATATGATACCGATAAACAAATAGTGTCAATTGCCTTTTTGTTAAGCTTATCCTATTCTACTCTTTTCTTCTTGATTTTTTTGATTTCTGTTTTTGAGGTTTCCTTCTCCTTCTCTTTAGAGGATAAGGATGCTTCTTCTTCCGCGGCTACAGTAGACGATTGAGTTATATACACTACAGGTTGACTAGATCCTGTCTCTATAGACTTAGTATTGCCAGGAACTTCAGGATATAGATATTTTTCTAAGATAATTCTCTATATATCTTAGGATCTAAGGTAAGTAATAATACCCTCTGACCAGACCTGATAAGTATTAGCGCCTGTTAATAGAGGTAGCTTTAAGATATCTACTGTTCTGCTTATTATGGACTGTAGAGTAGATATGCTATGTCAGATAATATGACTTTGTAGTGGTTGTTTTCAAGCCTAGGTAGGTTCGCTCAGAGATTACTGACGGCTCTAGCTTCTAGAGGGAAGTATGCCAGGGTCTTATTGCGAGGTAACCACTAATAGAGATATAAATAGCTTTAAGTAAGCCGGAAGGGGTAGCTTAGGTCTGGGACTGAATCCCCGGGCTTATAACCTGTGAAATGATAAAGAATATAAGTTTCTTAGTAAAAGATAAGATTCTTGAATTCCTATTGATTTTACGAACAAATGAAGGCCTTTTATATCGGCCTAGAATCACGTGGTTGCAGACAAAGAGCCTTTGTTCTAACAAAGGGCCTTTAGGCATCTACAGT